TAAAAAAAAATGAATATAGCAGAATGAAGGAACTGTTGATTTCTAAATTAATGATTCATAATTGTTGCTGTTTTGGAACTATGGTAAATAAAGTTTTGCCAGTTTAATTTACTACAGTCTTTCAGTTTCTGCCTAGTATAAATAGTTCAGGCTAACATATACTCTAACATTACTAGCATAGAAATTGCAGTACTGAGTAATTTAAAAGAACTGATGATTTCTCAGACTCCTATCTAATTCTATTCAAGTGAAGTTATTGTGGGTTACAGTTTTACAGAGATCCAGCTCAGTTACCTTTTTACCTCACCCCCTAATCTATGCAGTGCTATATACAGGTATTAATTTCCTAGAATGAGTTTCCTTTCAAAAATATCTGCAGGCCACCCTCAATTCTGCAGCTTTCCAACCTGGAAGCCACTGGCAGGCTTCTACTTCAGAGGAATGCTAGGAAACTTTGCAATTACTGTGGCAGGAAGATGGACCATCTTTTCCTACTTTTCCCTGGTGAATCTCCTGCAATAATTGTAGAAGAGCACCTGGAACAACTTTGGACAAAAACTAACCCAAAAGCAAATCACTAGTCTATAGCAAATACTATTTTTTAACAATATTACAGTCTACCAAGACTCAATAAAAACAATAAAGACTTTCTCCCCTTTTTTAATATACCTGTATTTCATTGTAATAGCTGATTTTTAATTATCCCTATGCCCTTTTCAGACATTTCCAGCATTAGAAATGTAGGCTGTGTTACCCTACAGATCTGTTAATATTGTTCTTAGAATATGGTTCTCACCGAATTGAAAGCATATCTAATGAATTTGCTGTGTTATTATTGTAAATTTTCAAATTTTCTCATGCTCTCCTTCAATAGAATATATATAAACTGATTTGAATTAATGGTAATATCATTTGATAGGCTGAACTTAAACTATATCCTTTGATACCCTGATGACCTTCTGTTGATTTAATAAGCTGTTTTTTATGTACCTAGTTGAGAAAAATAACTTAATCAGCTTCATCTATGAAGTGCTTCATTTTCAGCACCATAAGATATGCAAAAGCCTAGAGCTTTCATTTGAAAGAATTTTATTACATATCTGTAAAAGAAGAGGGTATTGTCTGTGTCATGGATTGTTTGGAAGCACGTAGTTTCCTTGAGGGCTAGTGCTTGCTAACATATTTTTTTATTTTAGTAAAGGTTCTGTACCAAGAGTGCTGCACCAAATGAACTTGAACTAATAAAATATGGCTGCATAACGAAAAAAAAAAAAATTGCATTTTCCTCCCATTTCTTTATACTTTTTTTCTGATTTTTGGAATTGCAGGCATCATAGCAGGCTAAATTCACTTTGCATTAATTACTTTTAGTTAAAATGTAGGTCTGAGATTCGTTGACGGTTGATTAGTTCTGTTTCTTTCCCAAGTGGTATAAAATGAATGTGAATTTTGGGGAAGTGAACTAGAGTAGGCACTCTTAGAATCAGTTCAAAGATAGGATTGCTTTTTCCATTATTCCTTTATTTCGTGTGTGCGTATGATGAAACAATTACAGAGATAAATGAATAGTTTGTTTATTTCTGTAAAATAATTTTGCTCTAAAATGCTCAAAAAGGTGAAAAGGCCAGTCATTCATAATAAAGGCATAGCTGTACAATTATTGCTCGTATTTATAGATTAATAACTCTTTATCAAAGATGAAAGTAACTCATTAGTTCTGTCTCTGTGCTGAAAGATTGCTTCAGTGCTAAAGACTTACAGTTTTAGTAGTTCCTTCCAATGCTGTAAGATTTTTCCGTCTTGAACTTCTAGGGAGGAGACTAGGGGAAGGACGCATTGTTACTCTTATGAGCTTCTAGAAGTCTGTGATGAAGTCTAGACAACTGGTCACATATCATCAACACGGCATTTCTTTTGTGGTTTGCAGACTGTCAGGAGCCAGCCACCCCTTGTCACCTCCCTGTGACATGGATTCGAGTAGCTCTGAGGAGTTCTACCAGGCTGTTCACCATGCCGAGCAAACCTTCAGGAAGATGGAGAGCTACTTGAAGCAACAGCAGCTCTGCGATGTTATCCTGATTGCGGGGAATCGCAAGATACCTGCACATAGGTAGGACATAAATGTATGGTATTGAAAGTATGACAGTAAATGCTTTTCACCTGCTTATTTCTTGAATAGTAGTTTCTGTGGTCCCTTATGCCTGCTTTGCACTTGCTATAAGCACCACAAATTTAAGTGGCTGCATCCTTTTAAGGATGGTCCTTTAAAGTTTTTTTTTTTTTCTTGTTTTTTAAGACAGATTTTAATAGTTTAGGTAGCACTCAACTAATAAACTTTCTACCATGAGTGTGTCAAAGTATCCCCCCTGTTGTAATGCTGTTCATCTGTGAAGGGAATGGAATTTCTAAAATGAGATGTTGTACAGCTACAGTGAACATAGCATCGTTTTTAGCTCACAGTAACATCACTCTGACGAGTCTCCCCCTATGGAGTCCCTCAGACCAAAATACATGTAGAGTAAAATAATGCTAAACACTGCCTTCCCATGACCCATGACTTTTGAATGAACTGAAGAATATCTTAATTACTTTTAATGGTAATTATGAATATAAAAAATATAATGGCATCAGCATTTGTAAAATTCTATAACGTGATATGGTAGTGAAGCAACCAGTATACATGGAACCATGCTTGGGTTTGGATTATCACTAGCAGTTAAAATATTCATTTTTCATTAAGATCTTGATCTTAATTTTAGACTTTAACTTAATGGATATAGATGAAAATCCAGTCCTAGAGCTAGAGCTTCCACTAAAATACAGAGAATGCTTCTGAGTTTCAAGTTGGAGAGCAAGTCCCTGTGCCTTTGAACTATATAAGGCTGCAAACTAAGAATGACCCGTTCTTCACCTGTGCCCCAGTTTTTCTGCTGAGGTGCTATATCCAGGACAAGGCTAGGGTTGCCCCAGCAGGAAAGCCTAAACACAGCCAATGTAGCTCTGAATTCACAAATTACCTTTCTGATGCAGAGGAGTACTGTAACGTCATCTTTGCAGCTTTGGCCTCACCAAGTTCTTTCTGCCCCAAGTGAAGATAGGCACAGAGACTATTCTTTTTGCTATTCTACAGACAGGTTGCATATTAGATACGCCAGCTCTCATTATAAGGAAAAGATACATGGAATATGTAAGAACGAGAAGTAAAAGCCATTGTTAAAATATGAAAAGTAAAAATAGACAAGAAAGGCCATCAAAGTATTTAAACTATCCCAATAATTATAGTAAGTGAGAAAAAAACTCCACTTAACAAGCAATAATATTAAGATGCACCTAGATAGTTTACAGCACGCATGAGACAGAAGCATAAAGTCCACTTGGTTTCAGGTCAGTAGCTGCAGAAAGTATAGGAAACTTCCTCCTCTTCCTTTGGCCTTTTCTTGTCTTAAGACTTTGTTCCTACTCTCATGTCTTCTAAGACCACTTTTAGTCTAAGACCACCATCTAATTCCCAGAAGACAGCAAAGTCCCTAATATTTTCTACTCACCAAGTCAGCAACTGATTCTGCTCCTGTGCTCCAGTGTTTTGCCCCATAAAAGGTATTATGTGGCTGACATATGCATCCCATATCTATGCATCCCTGGTAGGTGTGGTGTGATGTTATTTTTATATAAATCACCAAGATCTTTCCCTTATGGATATAGCAGATACAAAGAGAATAGTACTAAACTTTAGTCTTTCAGTCCTTCTGCATCTACTAGATTCCACAACTGCAAAATTTGCCTTAAGATGCCATCCATCTAGAAGAAAACTGGAATGGTAAAGACCTCCTATTATCCTAAGGACTTCTAGCGTATGTCCAATTTAACATCCCTATACACTACTAAAATCACTTAAGTGGAACTCTGTAGAAAGAAAGGGAAATGAATTACTCTTTCCTGAAAGTTCTTTGGTCCATTTTTGTCTTTCAGATTTTCAGACACAAATGAAGTGAAAAAAATGTTATGCGATGCCTAAATTCACATTTTTAAACTGGACTGAAAAAATGCATACTGGATAGAAACAAATATTACGCATTTGGTGTTGTCTGCCCTATTTAATAAGGATTATTTAAAATAAACCACTGCATTTCTACTGGTATAAATATTTTGGTAGGCTGCATAGTTTGGAGGGAAGGTGAAGAGAAAGCTGTCACTGTAAGTTCTTTTTATTAATTTATCTCCTTCTCCCCACAATTTTCAGGACAGCTGCTCATATTTGTATTTCAGCCTGCCAGTAGTAAATTTAATTTCACATTTGTCATTTCAATTCTAGAGCATATCTAAATCCTTCTGGAGCTGGAAAAATACCTTAATAAGGAGAAGATTGACCATGAAAGAATAACCAAAATCTTATTTAGATTTTTGTAATAAACCTTGAGACATCTTTCCATTTGATATTTTCCTTCTCTGGAATCTCTAGTCAAAGGACCAAATCTCAAAGAGCTGGCAAAAGTACTGTTGAATGATGTAGATTTGAAAAAATTGTTTTGAATAAACTAAATTTTGTCTGACAAGACAAAATGCAGTGAAGGGTGTTCTGAATTTTGTATTTCTTTACAGTGTTTGCTCTGTGTTTTGTTAGACACGTGTAGCTGGGCAGCAGGGAAGAAGACTTCCGGTTTCATTTTACTTATTTAATCCTAGAATACTGAAAAACCCTGAAAGTTGAAAGATCCCTTTTGGAGCCTGATCCAACTGCCCCTGCTTAAAGCAAGGTCAGCTCCAAAGTTAGATTCAATTCTGAGGTTAGATCCTGTGTTCAGGGTCATACCCACTTAGGTTTTAAATATCTGCATGTTTAAGGGTTCCACAACTTTTCTTGGCAAGCTGTTCCAATTTTTGATCATGCTCACTGTTCTTGATGACCCTACACATGGCTTCTGGAAAGATTTGCTCCATAATCTTCTTAGAGACTGAGGTCAGGCTGACTAGTCTTTAGTTCCCTAGATCTTTCTCTTTGCCTTTCTTGAGGATGATGTAAAGGTAAAGTGAGGGCACTACCTGGACTCCCGGCAGGGACAGATATACAACCATGAGGTACACTATGGTCAATATTGAGTGTTTATTACCTTTGCATCTGAGCAGGAGTCCCCCAGTGATTTTCCAGTTGAGACAATAATGGAGCAGGAGAGTCCCTGAGCTTTGGTTCATAGCGAGGAACCCTGGGGGCGGGGGACAATATATAAAGACTACATACATGTGCTGTAAGCATATGGAACTCATCGCTAATCTCGATTCAAAGCCCAGGTGTTGCGCTGCACTGGCATGGGCTCTGCCACTTGACTATGGGTCAACGTGCCCTGTAGATGCTCCTTTCCCCACGGAAAGGTCTGGCTAACTTCCATCGCCCGTCTGCTCGACATTCTTCCGCATTTTCCGATACAGATGGATATGACATTTGTCTTTTCCTAGTCTTCAGAACCCTCCCCCAGTTGCCATGATCTTTCAAAGACAATAGAGAGTGTTATTTCACTGACTCACTGCTCTCAGACGCTCCTCTTTGAATGCATCCTATCTGGTCCCATGGACTTGTGTATATCTAATTTGCTTAAAGTGCTCCCTACCTACATCTTCCTCTGTTGCTGGTAGTAGTTTATCACCCCACTGATGCTGCCACTAGGCACAGGGACCTGAGAGGCCTAAAGCGGACCTTGCAGAAAAAAGGCTGAGACAAAGAAGGCATTAAGTAGCTTTGCCTTCTGTAAGTCCGTCATCACAAGGTCCTTGCTTCACTGAGCAGTGGACAAAAGTTTTCCTGAGTCTTCCTTTTTCTTCCTATATAACTATAAAAACCCTTTTTTCACTTCATATCTCTTTCTAGCTTCATTTGCATCAGAGCTTTGGCTTTCCTGATTCCACTGCTACACGTTTGGGGAAAGTCTCTATATTTCTCGCAGATAGCCCATACCTTCATCCATCTTCTGGGTACTTCCTGTTTGCATTTTAGCGCAGTCAGGAGTCACTTCTGGCATGTAATTTGATTTTCATTTTACTAACTCCTCTCTGGATCTACCATCTTAAACTCTGTCATCTCATGGTCATTGCAGTGCAGCCAGGCTTGTCATCAGTTTTCACATGTCTTCCTTCACTTCTTCCCTCCCCCCCCCGCAATTTTCCACTCTTTATGAACAGCAGAGCCAGCAGGGTGCCTCCTCTAGTTTAACATTTTGCATAAAGTAGGCTAGATAAATAACATTTATTTTCTATTCTTAAGAGCATATAAAGAAACTGCTTGAGGAGGATACATGTTCAGTATTTGTGGAGTTTATAAATTCAGCAGCTTTATGATAGGTAGAACATATGTATGCCTTCCATGTATAAGATCTATAAAATCTTATCGCAAATAAAATGAACTCTTAACAAAAATTCACTCAAAATTGTTTTATTTTGGTCAATTTAAAACATTACATAGGCCATAATTTATACCGAATATGTTATAGATTAATAAAATACAATTAAAAAACACTCAAAATTATTGCTTAAAATCATGGTTTTTCACATATTTTCTCTGCTTTTTAATGGAATAATTTAAGCAAATACAGTATTTATATGCTACAATATAATACAATTAAAAAAGCACTTTCCGAAAAACAGTGCAAAACTTTCTACATTTATTCTAAAAAATTACTATGGTGAATTTAACAATAACAAGGATCAAAGATATATTTTTATTCATTTTTCTCTGACTTAGAAAAAGTCTAAACAAACAGTAGTATAAAAAACAAGTAAACAAAAATATTTTCTGTAATATTATTTAACATTAATGTTTCTATTTCTGTAAAAATAAAAATTCATTAAAGAAATGCAAGTGTATTGCATCAAATGAAAGACATAAGAAGTATATTTTCTGCCATTGGTTCTTGTGCTTCTTCTTTCCAGTTAAAACCCCTATAAACTTTATAATCTCTCTACCATTTCAGGTTTCATTCCAGAGGGTATTTGCCCTTTTTTTCTCTTCTCCAATCACCTGTCACAATCACGTCCATTATATGATTTTTTTTTAAATAAATTTTTTTCCCTAGAGCAGAAGCTCTTGCTCTGCTATAAAATCTCCAAAACCCAGTACATTTA